GATGACGTCACGCGCGCAAAGCATGCCGGTTGTAGAGGTCAAGATTCGCGGGAAATTACAAAGAAAACAAAACAAAATGGAACAGGGTATTGTCAAAGAGGATAAAAAGGCGTATAATTTTCAGTCTTCTCGCGTATTTTTTGCGGAAACCGATATTCCAGGAGCTGCTTTAAGTGGAAGAAAGCCAGAAGAACTAAAAGTAGAAGAACTTAAGCGATGGCTAAAGTGCAGAGAAGCAAAGACATCCGGAAATCGTCTTCAACTTATACAAAGGTGACAAGACATCTGTTTTCATAGGATTATTGAAGCCGATTCTTATCTTTCTTCGAATTCTTTTTATTTAGAGTGAAAGACTATATTTCTAGTGGCCTCGACAAGAAGGTTTCTAACCCTGACGGTAAAATATTGGAAAAGAAAGCAGATGCTGGTTCGAATAGAAAAATCGATGAATGGCCAAAAGAGGGCTGGACATTGAATCTCGAGAATATTCCACCTTTCAAGCATTGTTACATTTTTGACTATTTATCTGGTGGACGAAATGAAGAAGAAAAGAGACGTGGAGCATTTAAGTGTAAACGGGAAGGGTATGCTTTGTTTAAGGCCTTTCACGTAATTAATGTTCAATTCAACAGTTCACACGACCTTTACTGCTTCTTTGAGGCAAAAGTAAAAGCTTCCATGACGAAAAACAAAATATAAAGGACAAAGGTACGTCAAAATAAGAGAGGAGAAGTAGTTTCTGCATTTCGTAACTGCAAAGCAGGAGTTAATGGATACTGTAAACACGTAGGAGCCTTATTATATACCATACTTGATTTTTGTGAGAGTGAGCTCAAGCAAATTCCTCCTAATGTAACTTGTACAAATAAACCTCAACAGTGGCATATACCAAGTAAGCAGCTTGCTGATGATGGCCCAGTGCTCTTTAACGATATTCTTATGATCAAACATGATTATGAACGAGATAAAAAGCTGAAAACAGAGAAGAGAATCAATAGAAAACTTGAAAAAAGATCATTCTCATCTTGTCCATCATTTTCACTACAGGTAACTGAAGAACAAATAAAAGGGCTTTGTGATGACTTGAAAAATGTACCACTGCTGAAGTCATCTCAAAAACCAGCTGTTCTTATAGACTTATTAGAAGGTAATAATCACAAGCCTATTGAGGCTAAAGAAATAAAGGAGAAATGGTTAAAACACACTATTAAAGTTGATCATGATTATCACTTACCTGCAAAATGTTTGAGAACTGGGACAGAAAAATCTGATACAAGTGCAACCATTGATTGTATGACATCAGACTTACAGAGCTTAGGACACAACTATGAGCCTATGAACACAAATTATACCTCTCACTATGTTATTTCACATTGTGAGGTTGTTGGTCAAGAAAATGCCACTGATAATGATTCTGAAAGCAGCTTCATTCCAGAAAACAGGGTTGAAGATCCAAGGTTTGAAGATGATGAAGATATCAACCTTCAAAATGTCCCTATTATACCAGACCCTCAGAACAATTCCCAGATGACCTTGATTTGACAAATGATAGCTTTAAGGAAGTCTGTAGGGGATATATAAACAATATTCAACTTGCTCTTGAAGATATTGAGGACATAGAGAGATCTACAAGAGGGCAATCTAAATATGTAAAATGGTTTGAGTTCAGAAAAGGCAGACTTACAGCATCAAGGTTTGGTGAAATCAAAAACAGGAGAATAACTACCCCACCAGACAAACTTGTTCAAGATTTATTCCAGTACAAACACAAAACTACACCTATTCAGTGCAAAATGGGACTAGAAAAGGAACCTGCTATTATCAGTAAATATGTTGAGCACCAAACCAATAATGGGTTTAGTAAAATTAGAGTAGCAGAGAAAGGCCTTATTATTTCTAAAGACAACCCAGTACTTGCAGCAAGTGTTGATGGTGAGGTAACAGATCCTACTAATAAATACAATCCTGTTGGTAMTCTTGAAGTAAAATATAAATTATTTCCTCCACACTTAAAGGATGAGCTATCTACAACCCAAGGAAAACTCTTAGAACTTGTTGCACAGAATGATAAGTCATTTTGTCTGGTTAAAACTGACTCTGGGCTTAAGCTAAAACAGAAGCATAAATACTATGCACAAATTCAAGGAGGCATGGGCATCACTAACAAACCCTGGTGTGACTTTGTTGTGTATACAGATTTCAATGAAACTGAAGATATACATATTGAATGGGTGTACTTTGATCCATCATACTGGGAGGCACTGAAGARAAAACTACTTGACTTCTACATGTGTGCCATGGTCCCAGAGCTACTGACAGCCCGGGTAAAAAGAGGCATCCCCATGTACCCTAATGTTTTTCAATATCGTCAGAAATCTACCACATAGGTAAGGAACCCTAAGTGACCCATCATTTTTCAAGGAAAATATGCTGGAAAGATCAAAGTTTCCATAAAGAACCTCTCCAGGGCATGTTGTATATAGCAAGTGACCACCTTCTTTATTCATTGTTTTCATGATGACCTCCACTTCATATCTCCTCTTATATCACATGCATTCATGATGAACACAAATATAAAAAGCCCCTCACAGCCAATCTAACACAACTGTGACTCCCTTTTTTTTCTCCTACATAAATAATGACCA